AAAAAAGAAAAACTTATACAAAATGATAAAAAAAAAACTTCTAAAAAAAAAAGCCCTAGTGGCTAGTTCCTAATGTCTTAAAAACTCAACAAAATAACATATGGCTAAGATGAAGTCTTCAACTCATGACTTTCAAAGATCTTGAGTGAACTGCTGACTACAGACTTCTGCATTCTACCTAACACTGCTGTACTCCTTTCTGATCCAACAAGCTCCCTGACGCTCTTCTTGAGGTCTTTCGAGTACCCTCCCTTATTATTATTATTATTATTATTATTATTATTATTGTAATTCAGTGAAGATATTGTAAAGAGAAACTAGTAGCTAGTTACTCTTAGTGGTCATTGGATTAACATGTTTACTCTACCAGCCTGTCTTCCAAAAAAGATCTTGTTAGAATTTCCTGCAATTTCTGATGGAATTTTTTTTTTTTTATATCTGTAGTACAATGCTGTATATGATGTGGCTGTGTCAGCGGATGAGGCAGGCATGATAGAGTACTGGTCTGGCATCAAACATGATGTACAGTTCCCTAAAAATGTTGACTTTGAATTTAAGACAGATACAGATCTCTTTGAATTTATTATGGTGAGTGAAGGTGTTGTAGTTGAGACAAACTGGTGGCATTGTTGGCTAATGCACCTCTGATGCTGCTCAGAATTGTATGTGATATCAGTTGTCTTAATAACATGTGGCTGAAAATTTGAAATGTTGATGGATTCTTTTTGGGCATGTATGTTCATGTACAGCTGTATGTCAATCAATCAATCAATCAATCATATCCTTTATTTGAACACGATGAGGTTTAAAGCAGGGGTCTTGTGGGGTCGTGTGAATATGATTACAATAACAATAAGAATAGTGTCCCTTAAAATCACTCTACAAAATATACAGTAAGAATAATAAAAATGATTTACATTATTTATCTCTAAGTAAATTGACTACAGCGTTTAAAACATAAAAATAGTTAAAAGCATTTAAAATCTTGGTAGTGCCTGGGTAGTGACTGAACTGACTGTGCGCTAAAATCGAGATCCTTAAAATAAGAGTTCACATGTGACTCTCTAACTATAAGCATTGTTTGCTAGTAGCCTCATTTGAGTGTTCAACGTAAAGGACGGGCATTTTGTTTGACGAGTCAGTTGATGGAACGCTTGGTGGCAGATATTAAACAAGACTTAGTTTGTTGGGCCGTGTGCATTTTCTGAAACTAAACTGACTCAGATCTGGCATGAAACTAGCTGCCCTTTCCATTTAAAATTTTTTACTTCGATTTTTTAAGGAGAGGGAGCATCTGTACATACAGGTACCGGTAGATTAGCGTCATGCTACTGAAGGTAGCATTTCAAGGTGAACTGTAAAGCGTGCAGTATAAGAAACCACTTTATGAGGATGCATTTTTTTTTTACAGTGCAAGACGTTTCCCATATCTTTAGCATTCTCGCCAGATGGTAAATTATTTGCTACACTGGCTATGGACAGAAAGGTATGTGCATCAGTCTGCATCCATGATTTTACAAAAGTTCGCCAACAATACTAACTTTTTACTTACCAAGCGTACAGGGGGATATTGGTCCTTGGTCGTTCTGAGCTGCGCTCGGTCTGTACAAGAACGTTTGGACTTCTTGTAGCAATATGTTGCAGCATGTTGATTTGGTGTTGGATCAAGTTTGAAAAATACTGGTCAAATTTTTTTGCAACATTTTTGGACGTTGCAAGATGTTAGGCGCGTTTGGCGAGCTCCTTCACAGCATCTCACAACACGATCCAACGTTGTGGCAAGTTGTTGCGTTTAAATGTTGCGGCAGCGTTTGACTGGGTCTTCAAAATAAATTTTATCTTAGTATAACCCATACCAGTTTTCCTACTGTAGACCTTAGATTACAAGAAATTTAGATTTTGTTCATCAAAATCGTTTTGTCTCTCATACATGTACCTCTAGGTAAGAGTGTTCAGATTTTTGACAGGGAAGAAAACAAGGGTTTTTGATGAGTCACTGCAAGTCTTCACAGAGATGCAACAGGTAATAAAACAAATTCAATTTTTTTAATATTAATGTACAATGTAAATAGGATAAGAAAGATGCTGATTTTGTTTATCAATTTGCTTTCGGATTCGTAGCATTGGAGCTCGGAATCCAAAGCTTTACTTTCTGATTGCCTATAGGAACTCGGATTTCTTTCTTTGTTCCACCCGCGCGACATACGAAGAAACATATTTCTCTAATGTACTACGTATTTTGAATCACAATTTTCAATGTGACCGATAGCTTCCGCATGTATTGAACTACACGGTCTTATAATGCATGTGACGGCAGTGTAAGTTTCTAAGCTCTCTCTCTCTCCGGTATACAAGGGACCTTAAGCAGTCAGGACGGCAACGCCAAGGAAGACTTCGATTAAAAAATGAATTTCTACTCTTAGTTAGAATTTTAAAAATGGCTGCAGGAGCTTACTGTCTCATACGACGCCACAGCTCAACTTCAGCATGACGTATAAAAGCAGCGTGGAGTTTCAAATGGAAATTAAAATAATTTGCCGTCGCGGTTTCGGTTCGCAGACGACGCAAATTTTGGCGATTTCACGTTGTTGTTTTGCATAGGACGGCTAAGAAATGTACAAAGTTTCAAAATGCACGTGCTGGGCTATTGTTCTGCCAATTAGATCTCTTGTTTTTCCACGTCCTCGTTGCCGTCGTCGTCGTGGTTGCTTAAGGTCCCTACAGTCGTTTCGTACTCAGAGACGTTTCATCCTCAGTCAATTCGTACCCAAATTCAGACGAGTCATACCCAGTTTGTGTCGAAACGTCCGTGGGTGCAAAAGATGGAAAAGACTGGTAAGCCTCTTTGCTAAAGGATCATTTGATGGCAGCAAAACTTGGGAATTTCGGGTATTTGCCTGTCCACTAGAGGCAGTTGCGCGTTTGACATCTCTTCATTGCATTTATTTCTTTCAGCAAAAACAACAACTTCCTGATATGGAATTTGGCAGACGAATGGCCACAGAAAGAGACTTAGAAAAGACAGATACGTTGCGGTTCTGTAATGTAGGTAATGTCTGAAAGCCATCGGATATTTAAGCATTAATTTTGAAACTAATTATTCGTTAATCGATTTTTATCGGTCGTTCTGCGAACCGAACTCTTAAAAGACGAGTGATACGGAGAAAGAAACTCGCTGACATTGTTAATGAACTGTCCAATTGTTTACTATTTCCTTTTACCGATTTTCTGTTTAACTTCTAGTTGTGTTCATCGGAAATTTTTATCTCCATTTAGTGTTTGATGATAGTGGATACTTTGTGCTCTATGCCACAATGCTAGGAATCAAAGGTACGTAAATCTTGACTGAGACTGACCGTTCAACATAAAAGTTGGGAAAGCAATTCTGGTAAAATACCGGAATAAACCTGCGATTGACTACTGAACTTCCTCTATACTTTGTAGTCCTTTCTACTTCTAAGTGGAGACTTGCACTATGGGAGCGAATTGTCTTGCCCAAAGACGTAACACAATAACAGCACAGCGGTCAGTCAAACGTCAAGCATGCGCAAGGGGGTCACCAGCGTTTTCCCGCGCGTTTTCTCGCGCTTTTGGTAGTTTTGCTGGTTTTGACGTTTAATCATTTGCTCCGTGCAATAATATCCTTTGTTTTTATTATGATTTTACGACATACGTTAGCGTTCTTAATGTAATGTAATGTTTTCTTACCAACAGTTATCAACCTTCACACAAACAGATGTGTTAGAACAATAGGCAAGGTGAGATGATAGCATGCTTAGGGTCGTGTGTTATTGGGATCAACTGTTTCACCGTAAAGGTAGTAAGTTTCTAAAGAAACTGTGGTGCTGCGTCGGTGGAGTTAACATGGTAATTTGGTAATATCAAGTGAGTTGAAATTGTAAATTGGCCACCGTAAAGAGTTAACCGTTGAAGCGATTGTAGCTTTTCACGGTAACTCTTACGAATAGTCATATCAGACTTTTCTACGTTAAGGAGTTAAAGGAACACAACATAGCGGCAAATGCTTGTCCGTTGACGCGACCCCTAGAGCTGTTTTTCCGATTCTCACTCTTAGAAAGTCCTCTACTTCTGCCAGATTACGTGTGGGAAAGAGACCGAGTGACTTGCATTTTGTTTTTTATGACGGTTAGCACCACGGCCAGAATATGCTGCTTATTTTCCTGAGATGGCTCTAACCGGCTCCTTTCAACTGTGATTCAGCCAGACACAATATTACAATTTAAACAGGCTTATTTTTTTGTGCCGATGACTACACACATAGCGGTGTGTAATTTTTTACCCTTCCTAATTTTAGATGGAGAATGTTCGCTTTGTTCAACTTGCTCTGCACCAAGGCAAGGCTAAGAAAAGTAAAGCTGCAGTCACAATGGTAAATATTCCTATTTCACTCATTTAAGTACTTCAGTTTTTCTAACTAAATCAACAAAAGATGACACTCTAGATTTTCTTTTCGCACACTAAACCTGATATGCCCAAGACTATTTGGCGGTGTCTTGATTGCAACTGCAGTGTGCTACATGAACAGTTCCCGTGCGCTGTCTTCTTAAACGTGGCTGTGCTGAATCAATGTTCAACGAACTTACAGTATTTTTTAGCTCGAAGGATAGTTTCAATTTAAAATTATAACAGTTTCAATTTAAAATTATAACATAATTTTTTTAAGGTTGCACACCTTAGAGCGTCATTTTGGCGTGAGAGATAAGGCATGTTGTGGGTTTCTCAAAGGTCGCTATGTACCCGTAACAGCGTGGGTCACCTGACATTTTCTGTGTATTCTCGAATGCTCGTGCTTGTTTTTGATTGGTCTATTAAAATCGAAAAGTTTTCGTGCAACTTTGTAAAGATGTCCACGGGCCCATTTCTCGAAGGTCCCGGTAGCTTAACGGGCCCGTAAAATCTGTTCTGTGTTCATTCAAGGTGGGGGTTTCAAACGTTTTGAAAATTATGCGATAAAACAAGCAGCTAAAGGAACAACATAGACTGGTCAGGGTGTCAGAGCCTGCTTCTCTATTGATCAACTTTTGATTTTAAAATATGGCTTGAGTTAAATCACCGGGACTTTCGAGAAACGGGTCGCTGGTAATTAAACTGAGTACGGAAATGTTAGGAAATGTGGTTGTAAAATTGTTGCCACGAGACAAAGTCCTTAGCAGGGTGGAGAGCAGCTACCCATATTGAAACGTTTTTTGCAATAATTTACTTATAAAGTTTAGAAGTTTTGCGCTGTATCGAGGTTAAACGGCAGTTCTGTAAAGTTGGTCACGATAATGATTTCGAGGAAACAAACAATGTCCTTATCTTTATTCTATCGTGCCATCACAGGAAATGGAGGCATCTGAAAACCCTTCGCTTCAATCAGTAGGCCCTGATCCAATGTTGTTCTGCACAGCATCAAAGAAAAACAGATTTTACATATTTTCAACTAGGCAGCCTGATTTGAGGTGAGTTTTTTTCCCTTCGAGTTGTTTTAGGGGACAGATCCCACAGGGTGTCTATTGTCTTAACACTTTTGTACGCGTAATTGTTTATTTTACAAATGCTGCCTAAGAATACTTCACATTTCTTAAGCACTACTCTAACTTGGATCACTCGATCATACGCTTTAAAATTTCCGAATTTATTTATTTCCTAAGCTCAGCTGTTTTTTTTTTGTGTTTTGTTTTTAATAAATAAAGTACAGGTGTTACAATAAATTTTTCCATAAGCGGCTGGCGATGGTGTAAAAAGCCGCTGTGCACGCGGGATTAGAGACCGTAAGGCGAAACCAAACACGAGAACCTGCTCGCAGACTCAACAGACAGCGTTAACCCTTTAACTCCCAGAAGTGATGAACATGTAACTACCTGATCCAGCAAACAGGTAATGAGAATACTCAAAGTTATCAGGCAGAACTTGTTACCTTGATTGAACTCCAAATTCTTGTAAACAATTGACAAGGAAATGTGTAGCAGCTAGAGGGGAGAATTAACAGTCAGATCTTGGCAGTTCACCGACTCTTATTGAAATCCCAGAAAGTTTATTCTACCGCTTCGGTACAAAGACCAATTCAAGTATTAAAATGTAAACAATTTTAAAGATTGACGTTAAGATTCAGGCTCTATCCGATCGCAAATAGTTATCTGAAGATTAAAAACCTGGACTATTATTTTTATCAATATTTAAGGATCAAGTGTCAAATAATTACAGACGGTTGGTGATGACAGAGCCAAGCAATTGAGAAGGTTCTGCATTGAATATCTAGAATATCTTTTGCTCTTATGGTCCACGTTTAAGTCTACATTTGACCTTCAACGCTAACAAAAAGTTTTGATTACCAAAGTTATTTCCAAAGCATTTATAATATTCTTAAGAGAAACAATTAAAGGAATGTAATCTGTTTGTCGAGTGACAAAAAAGATTTCTACATTTTTTTTTTGTTTGCTTTAGTCAAGATTAAACGGGAACTTACGCCTCCACCATTGTGTCTGTCCCTGCCCTCCTCGTCCCCCGCCCCTCCCCCACTAGTAGCGAATAAGAAGGACTGTTTCCAAGAAATCATGTGATGACCTCGAGACCAAAGATGATGTAAGTCTTAGCATGCAAATACATCCACCAATAGGAACTTCTCAAAACGCATGAAATTTTCGCAAGTTTAATTACTATATTCTGCTGTAGGTGTACTCTGAAATTAAAAAAATTATTTTCTCTCGACCTCCAACCCGTTTTGATTAAATGAAAACAAGTGCGACATAATAATCCTAGCCGTTACTGATCGAAGGCTTTGATCGGTAAAGACTTAAAAACTTGTCTTTGCTTTACTAAACAAAAATAAGTGAAATGTTATTTCTTACTCCTGCGAGTCCTCAAGAAAGTGGTCTTCAGCTGAAGAAGATTCTGCATGGAACGAAGACTTCATCGATGAATATTTCTCTGTCTTCTTCATCAGATCCTGCAACTATTTTCCTAGGGTGATTTCTTGTCGCTTTTCGGAGCAGAAGGTTTCTTCAAGCTCTCGGAGGTGAGCACTGATCACCGTACTCTTGCTCTTAAAGATGTCAAAAGTGGTCTTGTTAATTTCCTCGATTTCCTTTTCTCTAGCGTTTTTTGTCCCCGTGAAAGCATCATATTTATTTTTGGGGAGAAGCACATCTTTAAATGTGCAAATCTCAGGTTTGCCACAGTTCAGCAATTCCAAAATCCTTGCGATGGCGCTTCCAATCGGAAGAACGTCAAACTCTTGCTTCTTTTTGGTTGGGTCTTGTACTATCACCAGGCGTCGAGCAATTTCAAAGAGCCAGAGTAGGTAGACTTCAATGGTGGGTTGAGGAAAATCGTTGTTTATCTCTGCGTTGTTCTGCAATAGAATCTTGATATCTCTCGCAAAGCTAGCAGTATCAATCTGCTTTCCCTGCTTCTCGTATATGGCCTCCAACTCACCATTCAGCTCTGTGTATGTTTTGCATGATCTTTTAAACGTCTTACGTTTTCTCGGCCGTAGGAACACGACGCCATTACCGGGTTGGTGTGTCGTAGGCCTTGCTCCTAGTCTGAAAAGTTCTTCGATCTCATCATCTGGTTCATTCTCGTGGTTGTTCCCGAATAGCAGGTAAATATTTTTGCCTTTCTTGAACTGGTTTTCGTCATTGACAATGGAAACGATTACAGCTATCACCTAATGAGCATCGAGGCCCGTAATATTATAGATTGATCCCTTGAATTGTTTCATATTTGCCGGAACCTTGTCCTCTGGGATCAGGATCGACAACTCACTACTATCGGGTAGAAGTTCAACAAAGAATTTTCGGCAAGCAGCCTTTTGACAATCGTACACAGTTGTGTTACCACTGCCTGTAGCCATGATGAATTATTTGGTGTTACCTCTGTCTGTGTATCACTAGCTCCTTTCAGTTCTGATGTAAAAATTTTGTGACGCGACTCTTGCTTTACCAGCTTATTAAGAGGAGTGACAACCAATCGCAGAACTACGCGACTCGAAATTGAATATTAACGACTCAGGTTGTGTATTTGCAAAGAGCATTCGAGAATCTTTAAATTGTTTTTATCAACCAATTTCAGAAAATTAAATGGTGAGGCTAGGAACACAGACAACGATGTCATGCCAAGATTTGAGACGAGCCCAAATTACTGAAGTAGCAAGTTTTAGCAGCCTAATTTCTCAGTAGCGACGTGAATGTCAGACTTTCTATGGATGGCAACGCCCAAATCCAGCGCTGTGTATGATTTTGCTTGCAGTATTACATGCATAGTTGAGCCACAGCTTGTTTTGACAGCAAGCTGTTTATGTTTTCGGCTAACCCAGACAGTGCAGGACGGAAACCATTGTTTTAAAATCATGATGAAGTTTGGTTTCCCTTGGCTGATATCCACCGGTGCGTTTATGCCACATGGTTGGCTGTCCTTTTTGTATTTTTCCCTCCGAGGAGTTTTGTGGAGCTAGTTGTATTCCATTTTATTACAACTATTACTATTATTAAGGTTTATATTATTAGGGAATTTGTGATTTAGCATAAATTAATATTTTACCGGCACGTATCAGAGGACTGGAGGCGGATTCGAGGTGCGTGGAGAGTTTTAGGATCGTGGCATACTACGGTCAGCCTTCGCCGTGTTAAGTTATTAGATTTCGTTTTCGTGTGAATGTAGCTATTCAATTCGTTTATTCATTTTTTCCCCTGAAATATTGCATGTTCATATTAGATTTTACTTAGAGGTGTATTCGCATACTTCCTTTAAGTATGTCATTCACAGGATACCCTAAAACCCTGTGGGTGTTCACGTTTCCTGTTTTTCTTCCACCGCTGGTTTTTTAGGGGTTTTCGTGTCCGGCTTTGATGCATTTAGTTTCCTTCCATTGTAACAGACTTTGGTAAGCATATCAATTTGGTGTTAGATAAACGGTACGGAGGCTTGGCTGGCCAACGCGCCCAGATATTGACACTTAGTGTGCCCGGTTGAGTAGTGAAGACAAAATATTACTATTTTTATTACTACTATTAATAATGTAAGAGTTTGAGTTTCTTTTTTAATTTGTAAATAAGTCACTCATTTTTTGTTCGTAGCATTTTATCCTTTCCTTTTTTTAAGTTCAGGATTTACGGAAAAAACAAGATAGATGATATAATTTGTTTGTATAATTATATAATGTCAAAAAGACCTTTTTTATCTATGCAGTATGTAGTTAGGATTACGATCATTACACTTGTTTAAATTATTATTAGTATTATTATTATAATCAATTATATTCATTTTCACATATTTGTCATCAGAAGTAATCGTATTGATATTATTGTGATTACTATTATTATTATCATCATCTTTATTATGTTGCCTTGTTGCTCTTGATAACCACGTTCACTCCATTTCTTGGTCTTTTGATGAATCAGGAAAAGTTACTTCACGACGGAAATCGACCCTGCTTGTCGATTCTCCCCTTTGGCTTTGCACATTTCCTTGTTAACGCTTTACGAGAATTTGGTGTCAGATCAAGACAATTTCTATCTGATAACTTTGAGTATTCTCATTACCTTTTTACTGGATAATGTATGGATATTATAGGGAGAAGTTACATGTTAATCACTTTTGGGAGCTAAAGGGTTAAAGGGAAAGAAGCTTAGCGTTTCATCACAAGAAGTTCTCATATGCTTAGCTTGTTTTTTCAATTTGACTTCAGTGGCGAAAGTGATCGTGATGTTTTCAATGAGAAACCTTCCAGAGAAGAGATTCTTGCGGCTACTCAGGTAAGAAAAAAATTAGTTTTATTCTTCTTGGTAAATTTTTATTTTGTTATTGTTGTCTCTTTATTAAGTGTCGATGAACGTGGTAAAACAAAGCGTGTAGCCAGTTTCAATATTAACTTGCCCGCTTTTAAGCTTGTAGCAAGCAGTGTAGCGGACGACCGGAATCGGTCTGCGCTTACTGGCGTTCACTATCAGAGTCAGAGCAATTTAGTGCCGTAAAACCAAATCCAAAGTAATTCATCATAAATGCCAATTACGATTAAGAAAAATAACTCTATTAGCCTATGGAAGCACAGAGTAAGATCCGCAACAAATTTTTAAATTTATTATTAAAATAATTTGCGGCTGATCTCTTTCCACGCTCTACTTTAGGGATCCGAAGGGACAAAGAAGTTACCTGAACTGGCCACTCTCCACACAACAATGGGTGACATTACGTTTAAACTTTTTAGCCAAGAGTAAGTGTACATAATACCTTTAATCCTTAGATTGTAAGCAAAGTTCTTTATCAAAGAAGCGCATGAAAGTTTGTCTTATCATCGATATGGAGTCACTGCTACTGACCTTTTCAATGCAACTGGACTTCAATACGGCCGGTAACATTGAATCGATCCTAAATGATTGCTGTAATGCTCCAAAAGTATCCTTCAATTTTGCGCGTGTAATCATTCGTCCTCATCGCCATACAAATACTCACAATCACCTCAAACTTCACCATCAAAAAAAATTTTTTTTTCCTATACCGTTTGCCGTTGTCGTAAGCTTTGTGCTCAGTCTTGTTCTAATAAGATTAGGCAAACAATTCATCATTTATTTAGCTAGACAGTCACTATGGACAGTAATCACGTCTTTAAAATGATTTTAGATGTCCCAAGACCGTGGAAAACTTCGCAACTCACAGTGAGAATGGTTATTACAACTCGCACGTATTCCATCGTGTTATTCATCAGTTCATGATACAAACTGGTGATCCAGAAGGTAAGGAATGCTGTTTGTCTCCATTTAAAACAGCATCTGCACAATTAAGTTTCCCTTTGGAAGAGTGCTCTTCAAGGGAATTTGTTCGCTATTTTCTCCAGTAAGGTAAACCTAACAACAACTCTTGTGTAGGAAAATTGTAGGGAAACAATTCTCCTTAAACCCGACACAGCTGCCTTGAAATGTGTCTCTTTTACTTACCTGAGCCAATTTTGTCCCAGTTTTTCCGCGGCGATGTGATACGTTTCTCCTTCACTTAACAAATCTCCTTGCTTCACCTCTGCGCTCCAAGATCTAAATAGTGATTCTCCTTACTGACAAACTTATATTTCTCAGTCTTAGTCTGACCGTTTGGTCTTTAACCAAGTAGTATCCATTAGTTGAGAGTTTTCTTCATTCTCATAACTTGTCTGCTCGATAGTGTACTGACATTACAGGGAGAAATTACCTCTTGGTCACACTTGCGAGCTGAAGTGTAAGAGATGACATGTTAGCTTTTGGACAATGGGACTTCCTTGAGAAAACATGACACCTTTTCCATTCACATTATGATATAAATTTTGCGGAGAATTGTGCAAGAGGATAACTATACGAATTTTTTTTCTGTAAATCAGGTGATGGTACTGGAGGGGAGTCTATCTGGGGTGGTGAGTTTGAAGACGAGTTTCACAGAAACTTACGTCACGATCGACCATTTACAGTGAGCATGGCGAATGCAGGACCTAACACTAACGGCTCGCAGTTCTTTATCACTGTCGTACCAACGGTGAGTGCACCAGGGAGAAAACGGGGTGTGAAATCGTTGCTTAGGCAACTGCGTGTTCAAAGGAAAGGGAGAAACGGATTTGAAACGTTCACTTGAGACGGTCGCAATCCATTTTACCCGTTCAGGAGAAGTTTTGTTTGGCTTTCAATTGCAAGGGACAGTAGGCTGCTACAGAGGGTTTAGAGTTCGACGTGAGCATTTTTTTCAAAATTTGAAAAAATTACCTAGGAAGCTGACGCTCTGGAGATAGTGGGTATGCGTTGTAAGGGCGTGTGCGAGGCGGGCAAGCGCGTATCCTTAAAATTTCTCAAACTATCGTATCTGGAGCTGTACGCAGTGAAGCTCTTTTGCCCTATTGATTGGTCGAGAAACTCGTCTCGTCTTCTTCCCAACCAGTCAGATGCAAAACAAAAATCAAGTGCGACGTGTCCACTATCGTTTTCCCGCGCTTTAGGCCGTTTGTTTCTTCTGATTGGCTGTTGTGATAACCTTGGTATTATCATCCTCTTTATCTCGAAGTAGCTCGTACCACTGACCGAAAAACTGTTAATTAATTTATTTTTCTTCTTGTCACAACAGCCGTGGCTTGACAACAAGCACACTGTGTTTGGCCGCGTCACCAAAGGAATGGATGTGGTACAAGAGATAAGTAAGGTGAAAACAAATCCAAAGGACGATAAACCCTACGACGACATCAAGATTATCAACGTGTCTCTGAAAGGCTAAGATGACATGAGTGCTGAGGAAAAGAAAAGTGCATTTATCACAGATTTATACCTCTTCTTCATCATGCTCACCGATTCAGTTAAAATGGGCGGACGAACAAAATGGCATCATTCAGCTTAACCTTAATAACGAGCGCAATGTTTTTCAGGGTTATGTGTGGAAGAGCGTGCCGAAGTGAAAGAAAACAAACATGTTCGTTTAATGTCGCGTGCTTAGATTACGTCACACCCACAGGACAATTTGTAAAGAACTCGGAATCAGAGAGCGAAGTTCGGAAACTCACTGACGAATACTTTCCAAACTTTTCCGTCAGGTTTTAGAGCGAGAAGCTGGAACAAGGCTGATCATCCTTAAAACGGAAATAGGAAACAACAATGCAGTAATAACTACCTTTCAGACAACGCCTTGCTTTATTTAAGACAAGTTGTCTCTTTTTATTAAGAACACTCTTTTTGTAAGATACAGTTTTTTATATAAAATAAATAACATATTGACCTTTATTCAAGTACAAACATATTTTTGTTCTTGAGAGTTGTCTCTTATTTGGTCATTTTTTTTTCATAGCGTTAACATAACTTCTTCGCTATTAAAAAAAAATGTGAAGCTGGCTTTCAAACAACTTCGTAAACACGTTAGGAACGTAATTGCATATCGGCATCCCACGAACTGTTTTGAAATTTTCAAGTCGGCGTTCGCGACAGTAATCACTTCCACTAACATTTCTTTTTCCATATTGCTCGACAAAACAAATGAATGCTGAAAAACCTTTTCGCAACTTTCTCTTGATGTTTTACCAAAAGAAACTAGAACAGTTCTGGTGTCCACAATTAATCTGTGATGGATTTTACGAACAGTTACGAGTTACTAAACAGACTGAGATCAGATATGACATGAATCTAGCCTCCCCTTCCCATCACAATTTTACTTCGATTTTTTCAAGGATAGGGAACATATGTGCATTCATTTTACCGGTAGATTGGCTACATGTAGAGAAGAAACCTTAACGTAGATTGTTTACAAAAGTTTGTAACAAGTTCGGTGAATTCCATTTAACAAATGGTAAACACCACAGCGTACAGTATTGAGTTATGGATGCACGCGGGAGGTTGCTAAGCACGAAAGAAGCGTAAGAGTCGCTTGAGGCGATAGCCGAGAGCGACTCTAGCTTCTTAAGTGCTTAGCAAACCTCCCAAGTGCATCCATAATTTAATAGTGTACGCTGTGGTGTTTACTATTTGTTTTATAACACAACATTGATACATTGTAGCGAAAGAGTTCCCTTTTATTTAACAAATCTTACGTGACCAGAAAAAACAAGCGCGCGGGGAAAAATAGTCTTTGGATTTAATCACGTCAGCAATGTACACCCATGAGCGAACCTGGAATGGGGG